CGTTTGGTTACCTGACCAGTATGTGTATGATGTACGCACCCCGTTGTGTACCCCACCGGCACTCCGCCACCGCCGGAATGATGGCCTGTTTGGCCCTATTGTTGGGTATTTTGGCCGGAGTTAATTGTTCACTAATTCATCCTGTTTTAATTCAACTATAAATTTATATAACATTTTATAAACACATTTGATTATTAATTACTTAAAATTAAAATGGTTAACTTGTAAGTTCAATGACTCATATGAGCATTCACAATGAACTTAACTTTTTTTATACGGCTTAATCATAACTATGTCATTGAATTTAACAATTGAATCAATAAACAGCGATTAAATACATGCCGTTAAAATAAATTAACACTTGATTGTATTATTAGCTTCATTAAAACATTTATATGATAAGAGTTAATTAATTAAGATTATAACTATTGTTAATATAGCATGCAATTATACATTTCTAAAGTTTTATATAATAAAAAATTAATTATACTAATAGAAAATGTTTACAATACCATTTACATATTTATGAATAAAATAAAATAAAATAAATAAATAGTTTAAATGAACAATGTTATGTGAAACAACATTTTACTACGGTAATTATTCATATGTAAATACTTTTATATTTTATTTGAAATTAAATGTCACCACGTAAGCACATACAAGTTAATTAAAATGAGTTGATTAATCTTTATATTATTTTGTGAAAACACTTATTATTGAATGAAATGCAATAATTATGATAATATTTATCAGTGATTTAAATGTCAACTTATATTATGCGTATAAATAAGCAAATAATTGAAGCTATTTTGTTAATCAGTATTTATTACTTAAGAAGCTTCAAGAATTAATTATAAGAATGAATACAGTATTGAGTGAGTATTCAATAAATAATAACTTTTGAAATAAATTAAAACCTTTTCTAAATATTATAAAAATTTTAATGCATATCATAACTATTACATGATGATTTTGTAGAAATAATCTGGATAATTTTAGTTTGCGAAAACATTGAACTAGTTTATAGCGAATGTCCGGACCCGAGTGTATTAGTACCCTATGGTTGTAGTGGTTGTCAATACAATTACATTGAATGCAAAGGAGATATTGATATGGATTTGGGAGAAATGTTTAATCAATTGAGTCTAACGTTAAAACCAAAACAAAAACATTTTCATCACTTCACGTTCACGAACACAAAAGTGAGTGAAATAAAGGCAAACACTTTCAAAGATATTACATTTGGCAAGATTAATATACTCAACACAAACTTGGTACATATTCACCCTGATGCATTTGTGCTTACTTACGATCTTACGAAAATTATTAGAATCCATGGTAATAATAAATTAGAACATGATTCAATTTTTGTGGTGATGGCAAAATTTATCAACCTAGAAATTTTAGAAGATTGGGAAAATGGTAAAGTGGCCATGATACCTTCAAACGCATTTACTGAACCTGAATTGCCTAAACTAAAGACAATAAGCTATATAGTAAATGATTTAACTATAGGCAGCCATGCGTTCAGAAGTTTGTCGGCGTTAACATCGCTTTGGATTCTACCGTTTGGAACGATGCATATTATGTCGAAAGCGTTCGCTATCGACAAACACAGTAATGTTTCGTTAAATCTAGTTCTAAGTTCAGATTTTAATGAGATTAGTTTTGAGCATGGTGCTCTTACTGGCATTAATAGACCTACAAATTTGACTATGGATAGTGGTGATTTTGTGTATTTTCCCCAGGATATATTTTATCCATTTTTAAATGAAAATAATTTAAATACTATTACATTTGAATATGGTAATGAAGGATTTGATTGCCAGGACTGTCGCTCGTATTGGATTAAACAGAATAATTTTTTAAATAGATTTACAAGATTAAAATGCTCAAATGGTAAACCATTTGATTCCTCAGGACATTTTCAATATTGTGATGATTACAGGACTAGAGAACGAGATTTATAAATATTTTAATAAAATATATAAACAATATTTGAATTATTTTATCTTACAAAAACTTTAAACTTTATTATCGTTAAATCACAATATACAACTAATTTTAACATACAAATAATAAACGTAGATGTCCATAAATTGTCTGGATTGTGCCGGAATTATTGTGCTGGATTGTGTCTGTCCAGAATTTTAAAAATATTTTAAACATTAAGTCTATGGAGGCGTCCAAGATAATATAACTATATCCAACTGGAAAAACATACACATTTTTATTACACAAATTTTTGTATGGGTTCCCAAGAAAGTGTTATACATACAAATGTCATACAAACACTTATAATTTTATCATCTAAATTGTATGAGCAGTAATTTAAATGTCAACCAAATTTGTGTCTATATAAATTAACAAATAATAAAATCTGTTTTATAAGTTTTGTATTATTTCAACAATGAATTCTGTATCTAGTAAGTATTACAAAATAATTTTATTTTAAATAATACCGTACTATTATAGTATATGTAAATAAATACTTCCTAATTCACAATACATGAATTAATTATGATATTCTATTTTTAAGACATACTCTTTATGATGTTGGTGTAGTGTGACCAGGTGGGAAAATCATAATAGTGTACAAAAGCTACAAATATTGATCAAAATAGTGTACAACTAGTGTACACAATATTTTTTTCGAAATTTTGATTTTAAATGTCATTATATTGATATTATATTACTTTATATTTGTAATTAAATTAACACATTTTAACAGTTCAATATTAGAATGTGATTAAATATATATCATTAACACTGTGTACGATAACATTTGTACTCTATTTTTTGTTTAAAACTTTATGCAATCAATAATATTTTGAATTATTAATTGTCTATATTTTTACACTATACTGTATTAAAACACGATTTGTTGTTTATTACAAGAAATGCTTTACACAAAACAAAATGTTTTATAAAAGTTTTCATTTTTTAGTTAATTTTTCTTAATGAACAAATAGTGTACAATAGTGTACAGCTTAAAAATAGTGTACAAAGAGTTAAAATAGTGTACACTGCTGCCCAATAGTGTACACCTGGTCACTCTATGTTGGTGTTCGGGAACATCATGTTCAGTTACAGTGAATGTCCCGATCCAAGCATATTATTACCCTATGGCTGCAGATGTCATCAAAACACTTACATTGTATGCGAAGGAGATATTGATATGGATTTGGGAGAAATGTTTACTAAACTGAGTAAAACAGCAAAACAAAAACATTTTGAGTTTTTTGAATTTAATAACACAAAAGTAAGTGAAATAAAGGCAAACACTTTCCTGGATATTACATTTGGCTCAATTTATATATACAAAACAAACTTGGTACATATTCACCCTGATGCATTTATGCAAACCTACAATGTTACGCATTCATTAAGCATCCAGGACAACAAGAAATTAGAGCAAGATTCAATGTTTACGGTGATGGCAAAATTCATAAACGCCACCGAGCTGTATGATTGGGGCAATAATAAACTGACCATGATACCTGAGAATGCATTTGCTAATCCTATGTCTAAACTAAGTTCTATAACAATTGATTCAAACTATAGGCAGTCATGCGTTCAGAAGTCTATCGGGTTTAACATATCTATGGATCGGAACCTCTGAGACAACACATGTTATGTCCAATGCTTTCGCTATCGACAAACCAAGTAATAAATTGCTAAAACTCTCATTAATGGGCAATTATAATGAGACTTCATTTGACCATGATGCCCTCACTGGCATTAATCGACCCACAAAATTGACAATTGGACATGGTGAATTTGTATATTTTCCAAATGATATATTTTACACGTTTTTTATTGAAAACAATTTAAATACAATTGAATTCTATTACTCGGATACGGGTTTCGATTGTTCGGACTGTCGCTCGTATTGGATTAAACAAAATAATTTATATAAACGTTTTAAAAATTTACAATGTTCAGATGGTAAACCATTTGATGATCCAGGTCATTTCCATGGTTGTTAAACTAGAATTTCTTAAGCAATTTTTAAAATACATGTATACGTAAGTGAAAAGTAGTTTGAATTTTTGCATTGAATGCTATATTTGTTAGCCATTTCCCTCAATTCATAATTTAAAAACAAGTTTCGCATTTTATAACTATTATTTAATTTGTTTGCAAATGATATAGATTTTCGTATATTTTATTCAAATTTAATTATTTTAAATACAAAAACAAACTAATTAATTAAAATCGATATATTGTATATCGTAAACAACTTAATTGTTGACTTGCAAATACATTTTAAAAGTCCTTTTACATTGAAACATAGGAAATTTAAATAACACTAACCTAGAAGAAATATTTAATAGCGTTTATTTCTAATGTATGTAAATAATTATTACATGTACATTTGTGTTGTTTGTAAAAAATTATCGATATCCCCGTAAACTTTATATTATAATTATATTATTCTAAATGTTATTGCAATAAAAGCATAAATTAAAATAAATCATAAATAGATTGCATTTTTAATATTAAAAACATGAAAATAACTTATAATAGAATACATAATTTATGATTACAAAAATTTAGAATAATTTAAATATTTATATTATTAAAATATATTCAAATAGCAACCTTTAATTACACAAACTGTATTTTACTATTTATATATTGCAATAACATGTGTAAATTAAAATTAATTTATCATCATTAATATAATAAATAAATATAAAATAAATATATCTTTATAATAAATATTTGAGACAACACTTCTAACGTTCTAATAAGTATTTAAACGTAATATTAGTAGTTTATAACTAATACAGTACATTTAGTTAACATAGATATAATAATGTCATTGAAAGAGCTAACCCTATGGTTTGGTCATCCCTACGATTACATAAACAGGCATTCATTGGGGTTTTGGCAGAAATTTGTAAACAATGTGAACATGTCTTACGTTGTCTGCGATAATAACACTAATACTGAACAACTGTTCCAACGTTTCCGCTATGAAAACAGTCACAACAATACGTTTTGGGTTATGATTACCACATATATTGTATGTAACTATAATTTTACTATAAATATAATTAATTAATACATTTGATATTTTGTATGAATGCTTATTCAACATGCCAGTAATAATGTACCATGATCACCTAATTTGTAGGCAAGCTGGGGACGTATATTGGAAATTGATGGGTCACAAGAATCGGTTTATTACAGATCACTAGTTGTGCCCGTATTACTAGAGATCGCAAAAGCAGTTAATCACAGGTATTATAGAAATGTTAAATTATAAAGTTACTGATGAAAGTTACCAATTTTACCTTAATGATATCTAGCGTTCATCTTTATATATTGGACTGCCCGGCAATACAAGGTAGGTTTGGAAACATTTGTTAAATTTTGTGAATAATACATTTTGAATCAAGTTTGCAGAAAAAGCTCTTAAACTTTATCTTAATATTTTATAGCCTGCATAAAATCAACTGTAAATAGTTATTTGTAAGTAAATTTGATGTTTGAGAACCGCAAAACAGTCATACAAACTCGATTCAAAAATTTTAATTTACCTAAAAAATTGGTCAAAATTTTCCTAAATGTAATACATTATATTTTTATTACTAAAACTATATACTGTAGACTATTCATATGAGTATATGGTCAATGATGGACAATTGACCGCTATTGATTTAGAAGTACAATTGGATTACGACGAATACACCAACATTCATCATTTAAAATGCACACAACCCCTGTATATGGCATATAGAATGAATTTCATTAGTCCCGATAAATATAGGCCATATTCATCAATGATTAACATTTGGGAAGTATTTCACAAATACATATGGCTTTGCGTTTTAATGGCATTTATAATTATTATAATAACTGATAAACTTATTTACAAAATTCATCCCAAAAACTATAAAACAAAATCAATATTTACTAACATTTGGATATATTGTAAACCAGTGTTAAATTTGGGAGAGAGTATGGGTTATCGTAATTACGTATACCTATTATGGGTGCTGTCGATCAGACCATTAATATATATTATGCAAAACGATATAACGGCACAAATGGTGGGCAGATATACGATGAATGTCGACACTATTGACGATCTCATTGACGATAGGCTCACAGTCTGGACGTCTTGGGAAAAGAGGTTGCGTTTACGCGAACCCAAGGTTTACATGCATTTTGAGCCCACATTTAAATCAAAATACGTTAAATTGATTACGAAATTAATTGACACAAATTATGAAATAATAAAATTACTGCAAAATCCGGAAAGCATCCATGATCATTTCAAAGACACGGTCTACATAGAAAGTGAAGACAAACTGAATATTATTTGGCTAATGGTTTCCAGAATGCTCAAATTGCATTGGGGTGAATCGTATGTACCATTTCCGTTTACACCATTATGCTGTAAATCTAACTTTCAATTTACGGAAGAGGCTGATAAAATGTAAGAATTTTTAAAACTAAATGAACATTGTTTTCCCCTAGCAATGCACAATAATCTAAGTGTTTGAGTAATTTACAGTTTATATTGACACTTCATAATAATTAATCAAATTTAACAACAGATTATAAGTCCAAGTTCAATATAGTAATTTAAAAATTTGCACTTTTCATAAATATATTTAAGTATATTTACAAATTTTAAAATACTAAATGTTAAATTATAATTTAATTTAATTAACTAGTAATAATTAATTAGTAAGATTATATTCTAACTTTGATAAATGAGTGTCAGTGAAGAATTTATTTTGTAACTTTATAATGATACAGATCCATTCATTTCCTATCATGATAAATACCAAACGTGATTTATGCTTTATTTTATTATGAAGCTTATTGAAAAACCTTATATATCTAATCACATTTAAATATTAATACAGTACCCGTCGCTTATACGAGACGTCGATTTATCAACATTGGTGTCAAATTCAAAATGAATATTATTTTCATATTTATACAAATATCATTCATGGTAGTGATATGCTTGATGGTAAAAGTATGTCCGAATTTTACGACCAATTTGAGTCACTATATGACCCCCTTTCTTATACTGTATTTAAATCATTGTTTTATTTTTTGATGTATTTCTCTGTCATTTGCTTTATTTCATTAATTGTCGAAATCATGTTCACTACATATCACTCTAAAGTAAAAATGAGATTTAGGAAAATACTACACGTTGTAAACGCATTCAATGTTACATCAGTAAACTTTTAATGTAATTTTAAATGTCAACAGTTAAACAAATAAAAGTCTACAATGTTTGTTACAATATTAAAGCAAATGCTTTCCTTGATATTACATTTGGTAGATTGTTTTTAACCACAATTCAATTATTGTTTAAATTACAATAGTTGTAACTAGTGGGTTTTTAATGTTGTGTAAAATAAAATTAATTTAACAAATGTGGTAAATTTTAATGCTTAATTGCAATAATATAGTCTAGGAAAGTCCCAGGTACGATTTATGTTCATTTTTACTATGTAAACTTGCATGAGTTTACATTGAATCATAGGTTTTCAGGGAATTCCTAATATAGTCGTTAAAATAATCAAATTTCCATGACTTTGTATATCTAATATTGAATATAATAAATGATTTATTTGGTTGTTAACAATTATTAAAATTTTAACATGTGTAAATGTTTTAATATGTTTTTAAAAAAAATATATAACTTTATTTTCCAATATCTTAATGTAATATTATATTTAATAAACATATGAATTAATTATTAAATTAACCATTTATTAGCTTGATAATAGTCATAGAGTAATGGGATCGGGCAGAAGTAGTCTCAAAATTTATAAATCAAATTTTCATAAAGATTTGATATTTAAAGATATGAAAACTAAATTAATTAACAGATTTTATACTTCAGTTTCTGTACTATAAATTCATTATTATATAACTAAATTCATTACTATAAATTGTGCATTGCAACCATCATTTTAATTACACTTATATTAAGCTGTAACTTTTGCAGCATTCTCAATATAAGTATCTATTAATGCTATTGTGAAAACTACTGTATGGTAAGTATTAATAATAATTATTTTATTATGTTTTAAATGTCAGAAGTAAGAATATAAAGTAATTTGACAAATAGATATACTAAATAACAATATCGTTATAATAATTTTATGAAAAAACTTATAATTAAATGAATTGCAAACCTTTTGATTGTATTTATCAGTAATCTAAATGTCAAGAATCTTGACTTAAATTATATTATGTATATAAATAAGAAAATAATATATTTTATAATATTTATACGGTTTATATTATTTCAGATAAAATAATTATTAATTATTAATAATGAATACAGTATTGAGTGAGTATTAATTCAACAATAATTATTATATTTAATTAATATAATTTAATAATTTAAAAAACTAAATATTTAAATTAACTGCTATATATTATTTTCAGAGATAACCTGGCTACTATTAGTTTATGGCAACATCGAGTTTGTGTACAGCGAATGTCCTGATCCAAGCGTATTAGTACCCTATGGTTGCAGTGGTTGTCAATACAATTACATTGTATGCGAAGGAGATATTGATATGGATTTGGGAGAAATGTTTACTAAATTGAGTCAAACATCAAAACCAAACGAAAAACATTATCGATATTTCGTATTCACGAACACAAAAGTAAGTGAAATAAAGGCAAACACTTTCAAAGATATTACATTTGGCGAGATTACTATACGCGAGACAAACTTGGTGCATATACACCCTGATGCATTCATGACTACGTATAATATTACGAATAAATTATACATTCAGTATAACGAGCAATTGGAGCCTGATACAATGTTTACGGTAATGAGCAAATTCATAAACGCCACAGAACTCTATGATTGGGGCAATTATAAACTGACCACGATCCCTGCTGATGCATTTAGCAAGGCAACTTATTCTAATTTACATTCTATAAATATTCAAGCGAATGAACAAACTATAGGCAGCCATGCGTTCAGAAGTCTATCCGGTTTAACACACCTTCAAATCGGATGCATTAAAACAATGCATATTATGTCGAATGCGTTTGCAATCGACAAACCGTCTAATGTGTCGCTAACTCTGCGCCTAAACGCACCGTTAAATGAAACTGTATTTGATGATGGTGCTCTCAGTGGTATTAATAGACCCACACAATTGAAATTAGAACAAGGTCAATATGTGTCTTTTCCATACAACACATTCTACCCATTTTTTACTGAAAATAGTTTAAATACTATTGAGTTTTATAATAATAATACCGCTTTTGACTGTACGTATTGTCCGTCAAATTGGATTAAAAAGAATAACTTATTTAAACGATTTAAAAATTTACAATGTTCAGATGGCAAGCCATTTGATGACCCAGGTCACTTTCAATATTGCGGCGATATTGCCAATATATTAAAACCCTACGGTTGTAGAGCTCACGAAAACGAGTACATTGTATGCGAAGGAGATATTGATATGGATTTGGGAGAAATGTTTACTAAACTTAGCCTAAATTTAGAACCGAAACAAAAACATTTCAATCAATTTAGTTTCACGAACAAAAAAGTGAGTGAAATAAAGGCAAATACTTTCAAAGATATTACATTTGACCAAATTAGCATAAACAATACTAATTTGATCCATATTCACCCTGATGCATTTATGCTTACGTACAATGTTACAAATCGATTTAATATTGGTTATAACGAACAATTGCTACCTGATACATTGTTTATTATACTGGCTAAATTTATCAACGCTACCGAGTTGACTGATTATAGTCATGATAAGCTGACCATGGTACCTACGGATGCTTTTGCTGATCCTGGTTTGTCTAAATTAAACTCAATAACAATTGAGACAAATGACCTAACTATATGCAGTCATGCATTTAGAGGTCTATCCGGATTAACATTTCTTTGGATTGGAAGCACTAAAACAATACACATAACGGCCAATGCATTTGCTATCGATAAACCCAGTAATGCTTCGTTAAATCTGAACATACATTTTTCAAATGATGAGCCGACTATTGATGCTGGTGCTTTTACTGGCATTAACCGACCGACAGAATTGCAAATTTACGGTTACTTAGGTCAATTTGTGTACTTTCAACACGATATATACCACCCGTTCTTAACAGAAAATAATTTAAATTACATTTGGTTCTCTTATTATAATACGGCGTTTGATTGTGAGGACTGTCGTTCATTTTGGATCAAACAGAATAACCTATTTAAAAGATTTACTAATTTACAATGTTCAGATGGTAAACCATTTGATGATTCAGTTCATTTTCAAAATTGCGATGATTATCAAATTAGAAATTGAGAACATTTTAAATGATAGTTGCAAACAAAGATTGTAAACTCAAATTATATTTTGCCTAAATTTTTAAATAAAATTTTTGAAGTCGAAGTTAAAGAAAATTATTATTTTTTCAAAAATAGTAATTATCATAAATTTAACAATGGGTGCAATGAAAACTGCAATAATCAAACACCCATAACTTTGTATATCTTTATTGTTGAATATAATTAAATATAATGTGGTGCTCGACCACATCCAGTAGTAAACGGCTCCCGACTCGGAAGTGAGGCATACGAACGGTCGAACACGTCGACCAACGGTGGCCGAATGGCACCGAAACTAAGACGCGGCGCTCACGCGATGTATAGCTTAACCCCTCGGGGAGCGGTTGACGACTCCTGGCGACGATCAAATCAGCGGTTACTCCACAGTCACCGGTCAGCACTGGGTGTGTGCGCACACCTCACGAGCGGGTGCACCGGATCAAGGGCACAACGGCTGACGAGTATTTCCAATCGGAAAGGACCGCGAGTCCCAACTTAGGGTCACCCTCAACGGTCAACGGTTCCGGCGCCCGGAGTCAGAGAGAGACCCACACGGATGTCAATTACAAACTGTTTATTATAACGAGTAAAACCAGACTAAATATATATAGCATTGTGCAGCTCCTTATACAGCTCCTGTATAGCTCCTGTATAGTCGAGCGTTGCACACAGTTTATGATTAGTACAGAGTTTAGTGTTTAAGAATAAAACACGGCATTAAATAAAACATGGATTAATATTAGATTGAATATGAGAACACAGATAAAACATGAGAAACTATTTACAGTAAAAAGCTATGATTCTGAGTTAGGAAATGACATCATGACATAAATGTTAATTCAATTGTTATAAAAATTATAACTTTATTATTAGAAGTTTTAGTGAATTTTTTGTAAAATACATAATTTAAACTAGATATTATACTAATTAGTAATGGTTTACTTTATTAAAATTTTTATCAAAATTACAATTAGTATTAAAATGTGTGTTTATAGAAATGAATCAATTACCGATTATCTGTGACAGTAATTGTTTGCTTTTAAACACTTTTGCGGTTTTGGATGACTTTTATAATTAAAGTCTTACCAAATAAAATAAAGTAAATTTATAAATTTAGTTATCTTTATATATAAATATTGATATTTTAATCATATTAATAAAATTTACTTAATAAATTGCTCATTACTAAATAATGTATAATTTCATAAAAAGATAACGCTAAATAACGTTAATATAATAAAATATATAAAGATGTTTTATTGTACACTATAACCAACAAAAGCTAATTTTTTCTTTCAACATCATATATACAGTATGTACAGGTTATATCAAGAATGGAAACTTCCATTATAAACCATTAATTTCCAAATGACCAGAATTTCTTGGGAAATATCGGAGTTAATTAAATCAAAATTGTATGGCTTACAGGCAACTATCCTAGCTATTGTTTGTGAAAATTTAAATTAAATACAATAACCCAACGGTCAGTAAATTATATTTTAACATGGGTATACTTATACAATTACATTGAACACCCTGCTTTTTATAATTTAATAATTATGGTAGAATTTAATCAGATATTAAGGTGAAATATTATCTTATAAACATTAAATCACGAAGTTATAATAATATCTAAAAGAAGTAATATCACCCGTTAATTTTATTGTAAATTTGTGAAAACAATAGAATATTTTAATATTTTAAACAATTTTACATTATATTCTATGGAAGGTATACACCTGGGAAAATGTAATTTACGGAAGGTTGGGTTGTTGAATTCAATTATAATTTTCACAAACAATAGCTAGGATAATTGACTGTAAAATAAAATTTTGGTTTAATTAACTTGGATATTTCCCGAAAAAATTGTGGTCACTTTGCGTTAAAACGAAAATCAATGATTTACTATGAGCGTTTCTATTCTTGATATGACCTGTACATACTGTAAAAATACAACATGCTATTACAATAACTATTTTCCCTACAGTTAATAAGATATTAAGTATCCAATAAACTATTGGTGTTCAACTTTTTTTAGCATATCACAAGTACAGATTTACAGTGTGCCATAAAAAGGTGGCGCAACGGTCAGTAAAAAAGTTTAGGTTTGTCAGTATTAAACGAGAAACACCACGTGACGGTCAACCTATTAGTTTCTCACCCATTTTATAATGGTTAGCTTTCAGTCTATCGACAAAACATCATTTTAAAACAAAATTTAATTATTAAATATACATTTTAATGAGATTTCTGATATTGTTTGCGATTATCAACAATTTTATCAACATTTGACCCTCTGTGTATAATATGTTCATTCATTCAAATGATTAATAATTTTTAATCCAAACTTTGAAACATAATTTTAATGTTGTTTATGACAATTGACTTTTCTACTTCAAGGTCCCAAAAGGACCTTCGTTGAACACAAGTACAATAAACAGACAAATATACGTTTCGATGACAATAGTATTCAGAGTTTCGATCTTCAAATTCCGGAAAACGAACATGGTACACTATGAGCAACACTAAACATTGTAAAATATTTTCAAATTAACAGCAAAAATATCAAGAATATCTTAATTAATATAATCAAATTATTTATACCAACAGTCAACGTAATTATGGTCGTTAATCTCAATGTGTTGCTTAATATTACCATGAATCTAGATCGGTTACTATTTTTAGTAATCTGGATGTTGAATAAACCAAACACACCGGCAATTATTGTTAGTATAGGCAGTGATGGCGCTACGGGACAATCGTTTATATAGATTGAACCTGTGTATTTTATATATTAGTTTAATTAATAAAGTTATAAATATTTAATAAATTTAAACTATTATTGAGATTATACACTATTAGTTAGTTATACTGTACAATAAATATTATTTACCCATTGTAATCAATATAATCTGTACGCCGAGAACCAAAGTTACTAACATGAATATTACAATTGTATATAACACTGATATTGTTTATAATGATGAGAAAAAACAAATTTTAATAATTAGAATTCATAATATAGTAATTTAGTAATGCTGTACAATATAAAGTACAATTTAGTTATATAATCTTATATACACACACCATATAAACATATAATATTATATATAAACAAACCAGATTGTTCATCTAATGAAATAGGTTTACAAAAACAATTCCTTAATGTCCGACAATCACGATCAACACCATGGTTGTTTGTTGATTGCAAATTGATGGTCACTTTGTCCTCTGTCTGTAATGTCTGCGACTCCTCATTCATGTCAACCATTGTATTTAATCCATCACTCATTTTAATGTTACTATTTATTATAACTTGTTATTTGCTAAAATAATTGGCTTTATTATTGTTTAAATTACAAAATTAACAAAATTAAATTATCTTACGCAAAACGCAACATTGCTTAAACTCCCATTTATATTATATTAAATTTAAATTATTAAAATTAAATTATTAATCTTAATCAAATAACAATTATTATTAAATTAACAATAAAGCATAAAACTTTCTAACCCCATAAAATATCAATAATTATCATTAATGCTATTTTGCAAAAACTAGTGTATAATTACTTAATTGTGTTTTAAATGTCAAAACAAGAAGATAAAGTTATTTGATAAATATATTATACTGAATAACAATATCGTTATAATATTTTATAAAAACACTTATAATTGAATGAAATGCAAAAGTTTTGATTATATTTATCAGTGGTTTAAATGTTAAAAATATTGACCCGAATTAGATTATGTATATAAATAAGCAAATAATATATTTTATTATACAGTTTACATTATTTCAGATAAAATATTGATTAATCATTAATAATGAATACAATATTTAGTGAGTATTAATTAAACAATTTTATATTTAATTCTAATTTAATAATTTACAAACTAAATATTTAAACTAACTGTTTATATTATTTTCAGAAATAACCTGGCTAATATTAGTATGCGGAAATATCGAGTTTGTGTACAGCGAATGTCCTGATCCAAGCGTATTAGTACCCTATGGTTGTAGTGGTTGTCAATACAATTACATTGTATGCGAAGGAGATATTGATATGGATTTGGGAGAAATGTTTACTAAATTGAGTCAAACATCAAAACCAAACGAAAAACATTATCGATATTTCGTATTTACGAACACAAAAGTAAGTGAAATAAAGGCAAACACTTTCAAAGATATTACATTTGGCGAGATTACTATAAGAGAGACAAACTTGGTGCATATACACCCTGATGCATTCATGGCTACGTACAATATTACTAATCAATTATACATTCAGTATAACGAGCAATTGGAGCCTGATACAATGTTTACTGTAATGAGCAAATTCATAAACGCAACCGAACTCTATGATTGGGGCAATTATAAACTGACCACGATCCCAGCTGATACGTTTGCCCATGCTACTTATTCTAATTTACATTCTATAAATATTCAAGCGAATGAACAAACTATAGGCAGTCATGCGTTCAGAAGTCTATCCGGTTTAACACAACTTCAAATCGGATGCATTAAAACACTGCATATAATGCCGAATGCGTTTGCAATCGACAAACCGTCTAATGTGTCG